AGGGTTTAGGGTTTAGGGTATGTGACAGGGCATCATGATGGTTACCTTGGAAGCATTTTTGGGTCGAGGTGTGCCTGTGGCGCAAGTTTCGGATCTTGGTGGTGTGGGGTGTAGAGCTTGGGGTTGGCGCGCTTGGAGGCCTAGGGCTTAGGAATTTAGGGTTTTGGGGGTCGTGCTGTTGAATGCACGGATCTACGCAGAGAGTTTAATCTGTCGTGTTCGCGTTTGGACGGTTAGTCCAAAACCCTAACCTCCCTACTTGGAGGTTCATGGGTAGTTATAAGTGTGGTGATAAATAGGGTACCTATAGTTATAAGCCATCTTGAGGGACTTATAACCCCAGTTATAATTACTCATGAACCTCTTAAGTAACCCCTCAACCCTAAGACCTGAATCCTAAGAAACGGAGCTGGCATCTTTGCAGATCGTTCGCAAGTTTTGCTGGGATTTGCGAGATTCGAGCTCCAAGATAATAGAGGGCGCTTGATGCGAGAGGCCCCTTTTGGGGGTCTCTGCATGCTGCGGATCCGACTTTTTCGGGTTCCATTGAACGGCAAGTCCCCTGTTACTGCCTTATGGGTTTGGGGTAGGGCCTCTCGGAACCCAAACCCCGAAACACAAAGCCCTGGAAAACCCTAAACCCTAAACCCCAAATCCTAAACCTTGAACCCTACACCCCCAAACCATACCACACCCTAAACTTAAACCCCACAGCAACCCGAAAGCTTCACCAATCCCAAACCCTAAACCTTTCTCGGAGCTTCTATATCCATGGTATCTATCTATCTACCTATCTGCCTATCTACCTATCTACCTATCTGTCTATCTATCTGTCTGTCTGTCTGTCTCTCTATCTATCTTATCTATCTGTCTATCTTATCTATCTGTCTATCTATCTATCTACCTATCTATCTATCCATCTATCTATCTATCTATCTATCGATCGATCTATCTATCTATCTATCTATCTATCTACCTATCTGTGTATACAAATATAGACACCGGATTCGAGGATGGGCCTCCGTCGTCATAACCCGCGAGGATGAGGCACGCGCAGAGATCGAAGTCCGGCAAGCTTTGGCTTTAGGCTTTGGGGTTAGGGTTGAGAGTTTAGGCTTTAGGGTTCGCGGTTTAGGCTTTATAGTAGAAGCCAGAAAGTTGGAACATAATTATCCTCATGCCCTTAAGGTAAAGTATAAGAGATCCTAGCACTAATCCTCCTAAACCCTTGTTCCAACTTATCTGGCTTCTACTATAGGCTTTGGGGTTAGGGTTTACGCTTTAGGCTTTAGGCTTTCAAGTTTAGGGTCATTCGGCCCTTTATGATGTGCCCGCGCGGTGCTTTTGCAATGCGCGTGTGATGTGAGGGATCAGATTCAGAATGCCACTCGAAACCCTGAACCACGATGTTCACGGTTAGGATTCTAATTATCACGGCCCCTAAATCAACCCTTCATTGCGGCTTGCTATTCCTCGTCTCCTTCATTTCGGCTTTCTATTCCTCGTCTCCTTTGCATGTTTATTTCCCTTCAATGACGCATTGTTGTGACAGGAGCCCCACAGAGAGTTCTGGGTTTATCTCCAGCGGTCCAATGCTTGAGAGACACTGTGATAATATAGAGACTATTTTGGGGGTTCCTGTATATTATCGTATAATATACCCCAACACCCTATTCAAATTCTTAAGGCCCTTACATTACACAACCGGCCCGGCATAAGGATTTGTGTGCTGGCCGTGCAATTTTGTGCTCAATGCTGCCGAGTCGCACGACATGTAACATGGCCATGTGCGACACCCTAAACCCCAAAACCATGAACCGCATCCCAGTGTCCTGCCCATGGACAGCGACATGAGAGCGACCTATGTGCAACCAACCCGGAACCCCGACCACCGAACCCCTTAATCCTAAACCCGATCATAAATCCGAAACCCGAGAATGCCTCATCGCTAATCGACATGTAGAAAAACGCACAAAGCTTCATATGTGCGTTTGTACTGATATGGTTAAAGAGGTCTTGTCCAGGAAATTAGTTAGGCCTTCCATAAACCCTGAGCCCTAAACCCTCAACCCTAAACCTTGTACTGGTATCAACCCCATGTGATAAGCCCCACTTAGTCCAGAGAATACATGCCCCAGCCTTTGCTGACTCCTAGGCAACATGCTTTGCAAAAACCTCCAACGGAGCCCCATACATAAAGCCTATAGCACTCATAGGCCTGCACAAAACCTGACAGAAACCTTTACAAGAGCCGTTATGGACATGTGTGACCGACGAAAAGGCGTAGACATTCCTCTCCTGGCCATGGTGCCTTCGCCCTTCGACGCGGCACCGGCAGCGCTCGGGCTAAGGCCTCGGGTAGGGAGTCACGTGTAGAGGCATATGCCCGAAGGAATGCTAGTGATGGTCACAGTAACGGCTTCAGGTTTAGGAGTTTTGGGTTCAGGGGGGAAGGCGCTCAGAGGTTTATGGGCTATAGGGGCTCAGGGTTCAGGGCACCAGCAGCAACTACTGAAATTGAGACTAAAGCAGGAGCATCGATAACTTCAGCACCCAAAAGCAGTAACAACAGTGTAACGATGATAAGAACAACCCAGGGCTTGGGATTTTGGGCTAAGGAGTTCTCGGGCTTTGGGGCTTCCGGCTACGAGTTTTAGGACTTTGAGAGGTTTAGGGTGCAGGGCGCGCTGGCGTCTACTAGGTCGTCATCGCCAAAGCTCGCATCGTCGTCATCGTCTTCGGCAGAACTGTCGTCCTCATCGTCATCGTCACCATCATCGGCACCACCGCTAGATGGTGACCGTCATCATCATCATCATCATCATCATCATCGTCATCGTCATCGTCATACTCATCATCATCATCATCATCATCATCATCATCACCGCCATCATCACCGCCAGCGTCGTCGGCATCATCGCCACCATGGCTGACCGTCCTCACTCTCATCTTTACGGTCAACTCCCCCCTTACCAGCTTGATCGCCAGAGTCAGTGTACTTTACACAATCATCGTCAGCATCGTCATCACCATCCTCGTCATGGTTTTTTCGCTCATGCTGTGCCGCTGAGAGACTTTAGATGCCCGAAATCGTGGCAGCGCCGCCGTTTTCTTCCCCAGCATTTCTGCTGTAGCTGCCTGCTCCTGGAACCATGCCCTCCTCCGCCACGCTTTCCGACGTCGCCTCCGAGGGGTGCAAGGCAGAGACGATGGAGGTGACCAACACCCACTCTGTCCGAGCACAGAAGACCCGGGTGTCCGAGGAGCTTTGGGTGTTAGGGTGTGTTATTCTTCTTCCTCTTATTACTATTATTATTATTATGATTATTATTGTTCTGATTGTTATTGTTCTTATTGTTATTTTTATTGGGTTATTTGGGTTTCTAGTTTAGGATTTGAGGGCTCTTAGGGTTCAGGGTCTAGGACTTGAGGGTTCTTGGGGTTCAGGGTTGGCCACGTTTAGGGTTCTCACGGCTTAGGGTTATCTGGGTTGAAGCTTTGCAGGGGAGGAGGGTTATCAGGGTTTAGGGCCTTCAGGGTTCAGTTTCCGAGGAGTTCAAGCAGCTGGAGAAGAACGACCGGCTGCTCAAGGAGAACCCGCGCCGGTGGGTCATGTTCCCGGTGCAGTACCCAGAAGTCCGGGACCAAGCCGCTCACTCACCGCTGCGCTGAAGAAAGGGCTCGGAAAATGTGGTAGGACCGCCATTTAGCCTTTCCACCCTAAACCCTAAAGCCTAAAGCCTCAAACCCAACACCCTAAACCCAAAAAGCCGCAGTATGGTACGCCCTGGCGGTGTGCAGTTGTGGCAGTCGTATTTAGTAGTCTTTTAACCACATGCTCCACATGCACACAGGGGATTAGGAGGTGTTGCGTCTCTGTGAAGCCGAACCCCCATGCCCAGAAGGCCCTGAAACCCTAAACCCTAAACCCGAAACCCTAAACCCTAAACCCTAAACCCTAAACCCCAAGCTAACTATCGAAGGTCTGGGAGATGTACAAGAAACACGAGGCCTCCTTCTGGACTGCCGAGGAGATTGACTTGGCTCAGGACAGCTGTTATCATCTATATTTCTATGTATGTGTGTATGTATGTACGTACGTACGTATGTATGAATGTATGTATGTCTGTCTGTATGTATATGTATATGTATATGTAGATATAAATATGTAAATGTAGATATTGCTATGCTTGTTTTTGTTATTACTTTTGTTTTGAATTTCTACTATTACTACTATTATCACGGTTGCTACCATTACGATTATTATCATCAGTGTTCTTAATGCTTGTTTCATCAGGACAACAAGGACTGGGCCACTCTCAACGAAGGCCAGTGTGGGAGTTGAAGAAGTGGTCTAAGGACTTTAGGAGGGACCCCTAATAGGGACCCTTAATCCCATTACCTTAAATAACCATTGTATAGTCCTTATATACCCCTTATATAGCCAGGTAGTCTCCATATTAACCCCTAAACCCTAAACCCTAAACCCTAAACCCTAAACCCTAAACCTTAACCCCGATAACCTACAAGGGTCCCTATTAAGGGTCCCTCCTAAAGCCCTTAGAAGTGGGGCTTGTGGTTCTTGGTTCCGGATGGTTGCTCCGGGGTGTAGGGTTTAGGGTTAAGGGTGTAGGGTTTAGGGTTTAGGATAGCTTAGGGCCTTGGCGGTTTAGGGTTTAGGGTTTAGGGTTTAGGGTGTAGGGTTTAGGGTTTAGGGCTTAGAGTTGAGGGTTTGGGGTTTATAGAATCAGAATTTGTGGTTTCAGGGCTGCAGGTATCGGGTTTTCCGTAACAGCAGGTGAGCAGCACTTCGTGAAGCACGTCCTGGCCTTCTTTGCAGCATCTGACGGCATCGTGCTCGAGAACCTCGCGTCGCAGTTCTCGACAGAGGTGCAGATCCCGGAGGCCAGAGCCTTCTATGGCTTCCAGATAGCCATGGAGAACATCCATTCCGAGACGTACTCGCTGTTGATTGAGCAGTACATCAAGGACCCTGCAGAGAAAGACAGCCTTTTCGATGCCATCCACACCATGCCGGCCGTTCAGCAGAAGGCTCTGTGGGCTGTGCAGTGGATGAACCGTGAGAGCAGCTTCACCGAGCGATTGGTGGCTTTTGCCGCCGTGGAGGGCATCCTCTTTAGCGGCTCCTTCTGCGCCCTCTTCTGGCTGAAGAAGCGCGGCCTGATGCCGGGCCTGACCTTCTCCAACGAGCTCATCTCCCGCGACGAGGGCCTCCACGCGGACTTTGCATGCCTGCTCTACGGCATGCTGGAGCACAAGCTTCCAGAAGACGTTGTTCACGAGATGATCCGCGGCGCAGTCGAGGTGGAGCGGGAGTTCATCTGCGGGGCTCTCTCTTGCGATCTCATCGGAATGAATAAGGACTTGATGACCCAGTACATCGAGTTCGTCGCAGATCGCCTGTTGACGGCCCTAGGACACAGCAAGATCTTCAACTCTTCCAACCCCTTCGATTGGATGGAGATGATCTCCCTGCAGGGCAAGACCAACTTCTTCGAGAAGCGTGTCGGAGAATACCAGAAGCTTGGTTTGAATGGCCATGCTTCCGGTTTAAAGGTCATGGCCATGGGCAAACCTTGTATATGTAATGTAGGGGCCTAAATGATTGCCAATACTATTCTGGGGGTTCCTCATTATAACCCCCAAAAACCCTATTCTAATTATTCAGGCCCCTAAACCTAAACCCTTATAGTAGCCCTTGTAGTATCCCTTGAAGGAACCCTTAAAAGGAACCCAAAAACCTTATTCCAATCATTAAGGCCCCTAAACCCTGAACTCGAAACCCTATTCTAATTATTAAGGCCCTATAAGGCCCTATACCCTAAACCCTATTCTAATTATTGAGGCCCCTATACCCTAAACCCTATTCTAATCATTAAGGCCCCTAAACCCTAAACCCTATTCTAAGTATTGAGGCCCCTATATTACCCCAAAGCCAGGAAGGCGGGGGTCATGGCGGGTCTCTCGGACCCTCTGACGGCCTTCGCGCTGGACAAGGACTTCTGACTTCTGAGGTGGGGTGGCAG